TTTACTGTTTGCCCTTTGGGTCTCCAAAATCAGTTCTGGAATGTGGTCAGAGAAACAGTTCTGGATCATTATGGGCAAAGTAACAGGACATATTCTGATGTCAGGAATAAAAGTACAACCTGTTAACAGTTACTATTACACAGAGGTCATTCTTTATGAATTCCTGGCAGCTGCAAGTCAGCTGAACTTCTAGGCTACGTAAAACACCTCTTGTTGGTCAAGAATTCAACAACAACAACAACAACAAGATTCCATTTATAAAGCGCCTTTCACGTCAGGAGGACGTCCCAAGGCGCTGCACAGTTGGGTCATGACCCGAGCAGGGGGAAATGGTCAGGGTGAGGGGAGGGAAGGGAGGGAGCGAGGAGGGGGGAAATGGTCAGGGTGAGGGGAGGGAAGGGAGGGAGCGAGGAGGGGGAAGAGAGTCGAGAGGGGAGCTGAAGGCTCGGTCAAAGAGAAGTGTGGTATAAAGCTGGTAAATTATTTATGAGTGACGCTTTTACTGAAAAATAAACAAAGATGACGTCAGTCATCTTTACACTTTCGTAGGCTAAGGATGTTGTCAAGTGATGACTTATTTTTTGTAAACTATTTCACCCATCACTTTTTCTCTGTAAAGTACTCATCATATCACTTACCCCTGTTCTTTCTAAAAGACTAACATTTGGGCTTGGCGTATTCGGATTTGAGAATATGTACACTGTATTTTTCTACAGCTTTGACATCCCTGCTGTAAAATAGGTTGCCAGCCTAGCTCAGTTCGTAGCCTTTGAGCCACAAGGTTATGGTTTCCAAGCCCAATATTGTTCTTTGGAAATCACAGTATAAGCTGCCACTCCATTGCAGTGCTAGGAGAACACTGCATTGTTATAAGTGACTTGCTTGGAAAGATATGTTTAACTGCTTGTTCAGGTGCATGTGACAGATCCTATGGCACTCGCCAAAAATAAAAGGCACTTTCTCCCGGTACCCTGGACAATACCGGTGGATAAAATTGATGATTCACATCCTGACTGTTTATAATAAATCATAATAATAATCCTTGCATTTGATATAGCGCTTTTCACGGCTTCTAGCCCTTCACAGAATATACTGTAAAGTATATTATGGTATATTGCTGTGCGCAAATTGAAAGGTTTATGAGTTATTAGATTTATCTAGATATGTTCTATATTTTATAGCAGTTTTGAACTTGGAAATTGTTGAATTCAGTTTTAGCTTTGAAGATGCAAGTTTCAAAAGAAGCTCATAGAAAAACAGCTCCAAAATTAAGGCTGTGTTTAAGAACTTGACAAATTCTGGATACTCTTGGAATGCTAAGAAAATATAATAAATCTAGACTCAGGTGGAATTTCTACTCCGAAAAGGCCAATCCATCTTCGTTCCCCATCTTACTGACATTTAGTGGTGACATTTTGAGTTTCTATGCCCTGTCCATGAGTCATTTTGTCTTTTTTCTGCAGATGTTTTTCTTTCTGTGGATGTTAATACAATGGTCTGACAGAACTCAGAGTTCTGAAAGAACATGATTCTAAAACCACAGCTACTTCTTGATTAAATAATAATAGTAGTCCTTGCATTTGATATAGGAGCTTATCACATCATTCAGATGACTCAAAACACTTCACAAAATATACTGTAAAGTGGATTGACTGTGTATTTTGTGGGTGAAACCCGATATTAATCCCAAAAGGAGCAGGGTAAGTGAAATTTCACTTTTTACGACAGCATCCAATGATAGGGCAGTATGGAGGTCAACTTGCAGTGATTCTTGTGAGAAGTTGCAGGGTATCATCTGGCCCACAGGAGCTCTGCTCTGACACAATCTACTTTGTGTTACTGGTGTTCCTGTGAGTATAAGTGAAGCACTTCCACTTACTGGCAGAAGTTGCTATTTGTAACTCAGAGTTTTTATCGGTAATAACAATAATCCTTGTATTTGATATAGACGTCTCAAAGCCCTTCACAGAATATACTGTAAAGTGAATCGACTGTATCTTTTGTGGACGGAACATGACAGTCAATTGCGCACAGCAGTGTCTCACCATCAGTCATGGATTGAGTGACTATTATTATTGATACACATGAGGGGAATAGAGGGGTATTGGAGAGGGGATAAGAAGGTGTAAGGGCTTGTGTGGAGTATAAATACTGGCATGGACTAGCTGGGCCAAATGGCCTGTTTTTGTGCTGTAACGTTCTATGCAATTCTATGAATAGAGTAAATATGGTACATAAAGCACATAGAGCAGAAAGCCCTTGATGTTTTTCAGCTACATTTACCTCTAGTTTCTCTCCTGGCTCTCTCTAGAAACAGTCTCTGTGAAATTCGTGTTCCCATGACTGTTTGGTTTCGAACCTCTGACAGAAATTTTCTTTTTCAAAAAATAAATAAAAATGTTTTAAACAAACAATTTTTTAAAATAAAAAGTATACAATAGGTTCCAAACAGATTTACTTTTGTTTGTTTCATGCTCTATATAGTGAGTAATGGCTTTCAGCGAGACGTTTCTCAGCTCTGTGAATTGTCCTGCTGGTATGAGCATCGTGAAAGAGGAAACAGAAATTAAGAAAAAGGGAGTGGGGGGGATAAATAATGTTCACCACTACCACTCGAGGCTACTTCAGCAATGTTGGAGGAAGATTTGACAAAGTAATAAAATGCAATTTACATTTATGTAGCACCTTTCACATCGGGAGAACGTCTCAAAGTGCTTAACAATGCTGTACCAGCAACCGAGCTGCGGGATGGGACCTGAGTGGAGTGGGAAGAGGAAAGATGAAGGAAAGGGTGGTCAAAGAGGTATGTTTTGAGACATGCCTTGAATGAGAGGCGAGAGGGAGGAATTCACAGGGACTCTTGGATGGAAATCCAGAGAGCAAGAGCAGAATGACTGAAACCCACTTACAACAACAACAACAACAAAAAAATTACATTTGTAAAGTGCTTTTCATTGGGAGGATGTCTCTGAACAGTCAGGGATCAGGACTCAAGCATGAGGGGCAAGATTGGGATTAGGAAGGGCAGAGGAGTTAGGAGGGCGTCTGAAGGCAAGTTCAAAAACGATGGTCTTGAGTCGTGCCTTGAAGGAGGCAAGAGACAGAACAAGGCAAAGGGATTGTGGGATGGAATTCCAAAGAGTGAGGGCAGAGAGGCTGAAAGCCCAGCCACCAATGGTAGGGCTGGTAGGGCGGAAGACCTGGAGGAGGCTGGAGTCTGCTGAGCAGAGGGAGTGGACAGGTTGATAAGGGGTCAGCAGGTCAGAGATGTAGGAAGGGGCAAGAGTATAGAGGGCCTTGAAAGTGAGGAGAAGGATTTTGAATTCTATCCTCTGAGGAATGGGGAGCCAGTGGAGCTGGACGAGGGTGGGGGTGATGGGGCCACGGAGCCTGGTGAGGGAGAGGACATGAGCTGCAGGGTTCTGGATGATCTGCAGCTTGTGAAGGGAAGAGTTGGGGAGGCTGGCAATGAGGGAGTTTCCGTAGTCTAGCCTTGAGGTGATGAAGGCATGTATGAGGGTTTCGGTGGCCTGAGGGGTGAGGCAGGGCGGAGACAGGCAATATTGCAGAGGTGGGGGAAGGCAGAGTGGGCCATGGCGCAGGGAGAAAGGACAGTTGAGGGTCAAACAAGATGCCAAGGTTCCTAACTGGCTTGTTGAGGTGGAATGTGCACCGTGAATGCTGATGCTGCCAGTGCCTGAGGTCTAGAGGCGCTGGCGCAAACCAATCAGGAGAGCCTCGGTCTTGCTGACATTCAGCTGTAGAAAGTTAGCCCTCATCCAGAACTTACTATCAGACAGACATTCTGTCAGAACATCAGTTGTCCTGGAATCGAGGGTGGAGGCAGAGAGATAGATAGAGTTGGGTATCATCCACATACGTGTGGCGGTTGACCCCATGTCTGTGGATGATGTCACCAAGGGGGAGCATGTACAGGTTGAAGAGGAGGGGACCGAGGACAGAGCCTTGAGGAACACCACGCAAGACTGTGCGGGAACTGTAAGAGAAACCATTGGCAGAGAGAAGTTGGAGACTGTGTGAAAGATAAGACTTGAACCATTCAAGGACAGAACCTTGAAGATTGAGGTGAGAGGAGAGGTGGTGGAGGAGGATGGAGTGATCCAAGGTATCAAAGGCAGCAGAGATGTCGAGGAGGACGAAGAGACAATGGGAGCCCTGGTCACAGATGAACAAATTGTCATTTGTCACCTTGACCAGAGCAGTTGGTCACAGCATGTAAACCCAGTTGAAAGGGCTCATGAAGGGAGAAGTAGGAGAGGAATGAGCGAAGCTGGGAAGCAACAACTCTTTCAAGGACTTTGGAAAGAAAAGGGAAGTCAGAGATGGTCCGGTAGTTAGAAGGCAGGGATGGGTCCAGGGAAGGTTTTTTCAGAGCGGGAGTCATTATAGCTGTTTTTAGGTGATGGGAACAGTGCCGGATGAAAGGGAGAGATTGATGGTGTCAGAGAGTAGAGGGGCAAGGAGGTGGAAATGGGGTCAAGGGAGCAGGTGGTGTGTTTCATGGTGGAAATGGTGAAACAATTTAAAAACAATAATAAATTGGTCACTTCAATCCATGACTGTTTGTGGGACACCACTGTGTGGAATTGGTTGCCGCGTTTCTCCCACAAATATACAGTCAATTCACTTTACAGTATATTCTGGGAAGCGCTTTGAGAGGTCTGGAAGATGTGAAAAGCACTATATCAAATGCAAGGATTATTATTATAATTTGTGTATAATGGTGGTGATGAGAGAGGAGGGGAGACAGGTTTGAAAATGTCGAGGGAGGGATGGGTAGGGGTCGGAGTGTGGGGGGCAGATGGGGAGGGAGAGGTGGTTGGGAAGGTGGAGGCAGCTGAATGGATCCCCTCGATTTTGGACTCGAAGAAATCCAGCATCTCCTCACAGTCAGAGCTTGAGTAGTGAATGGGTGAGGCATGGGAGGGTGGATGGAGGAGACAGTTGATGGTGGAGAATAGGAGCTTGGGGTTGATTACCTTGGAGTACAAGAATGATTTAGCATAGGTGATGGCGGAGCAGTACGTTTTGATGTTGTCCAGCCAGATCTGGACCATTAGATCAGACTTGAGCCGTTCAGTGGCCCCCATCTGGCCCTTGAGGGAGTGGAGATGGCTGGTCTACCAGGGTGAGGTTTGTGAGTAGCAGGCAGTTTGGAAAGTGAGGGAGGCAAGGGCATCAAGAGTGGTGGAGAGGGAGTTGTGGACGAGAGTGAGCAAGGAGCATAAATCAGTGCTGGAAGTAGACCAGAATGGGAAGAGTTCAGATAACTACAGGGCAGCGGAGAGGAATTGCGGGGAGATATTTTCCAGGAGCGATAGGAGATGGCGGTGGGACCAATGGTGGGACGGATATAATAATAATAATAATCCTTGCATTTTATATAGCGCTTTTCATGTCTTCTAGACATCTGAAAGCGCTTCACAACATGTAAGGCTCTATATCAAATGCAAAGTGAATTATAATTACTACCTAATTCTCAGGGACCCAGAGGCATTGGATTATTGCTGGAGTTTAACTAATTAAAACTTCACAGCTTGCTACTGTCTGGCAATGTTTCCACTGCTTGTCCAGCTAACCACCCTACCAGTTAGGGCTTTGACCTGCAGGATATGGCAGGGAACATGAAACAGGCCAGTGCCCGCTGAGCAAAGTGAAGCAATAAACAAGTCCATTTCATTGCTCGTTGTAGGTTAACTAGCATTTGTCAAATATGCGGAAACCTTGCCAGACAGCAGCAAGTTGTGAAACAGGGTGATCAAAGGCACGGTCAAAGAGGAGGGTCTTGAGATGGGTCTTGAAGGTGGCAAGGGAGGGGACGAGGTGGAAGGTCTGCGGGATGGAGTTCCAGAGGGTGGGGGCAGAGTGGCAGAAGGCTTGTCCGACAATAATGGGGTGAGTGAGATGGGGGACATGAAGCAGACTGGGGCCCGCTGAGTGGAAGGAGCGAGCAGGATGATAGAGGGTTAGGAAGTTGCAGAGGTAGTTGGGAGCAAGACCATGGAGGGCTTTGAAGGTGAATACCAGGATCTTGAACTGTATCCTCTGGTGATGGGAAACTCCAGCAGTAATCCAATGCACGGTTTGTGGTCCCTGAGAATTAGGTAATAGTTATAGTACTCTTTGCATTTGATACAGAGCCTTATCACGTTGTTGATATGTCTCAAAGCGCTTCACCGAATATATGGTAAAATGGCTGTGTCTTGAGTTAATGGGAGCTGAATGGGAAGAATCCATGCTCCTAATAATTGGTCTGCTCCTTCAAGACCGGCCTATGAGCCAGGCTGGCTGTGCCGTCATCAGCAGTGCCCTGGAGTACTGAGCGCCCGCCTGGCTCAGGAACTGGACTTCTGACACCCCAACAGAAGATTGACTTTATTCTGAAATTCTGTTGCCAAGTGTGTCACCTTGAGGCATATTAAGTGAAAATGGGCTAACAATATTGTTTCTTTCATAATGGTGTCAAAGTATTTACAAGTGGAATGCTGCCTCCCACAATAGCTACAGTAGAGCACTGGAGTGAACAATAATTAATAGCAATTCACTTTAAAATGCTGATTTTGTTTTTCTAGGCTAAATACTTTGAAAATACCCAGAAATGTGACTTTATTTTCTGTGAGATCTAAACCAGCTGCTTTGTTTTAAATATACTGTATGTATAACACGATTCAAATTAAGTAACCATGTTCCCACATTTGATGGCAAAATAATACAACAACAACAAAAAAATTACATTTGCATAGCGCCTTTCACATCAGGAGGACGTACCAAGGAGCTGAACAGACAGAGTTTCGGACCCGAGCTGGGGATCAGGATCAGTGAGAGTGGTGGGCGGGGAGAAGCAGCGTGATCGAAGGCACGGTCGAAGACGAGGGTCTTGAGATGGCAAGGGAGGGGGCGAGGTGGAAGGTCTGCGGGATGGAGCGCCAAAGGGTAGGGGCAGAGTGGCAGAAGGCTCGCCCGACAATAGTGGGGTGAGCGAGACGGGGGACCTGAAGCAGATTGGAGCCCGCTGAGTGGAAAGAGCAAGCAGGATGATAGAGTGTTAGGAGGTTGCAGAGGTAGTTGGGAGCAAGACCATGGAGGGCTTTGAAGGTGAATACCAGGATCTTGAACTGTATCCTCTGTGTGATGGGAAGCCAGTGGAGTCGGGCAAGGATGGGGGGATAGGATCCCGGAGCCTAGTGCGGGAGAGGACACAGGTTGCAAAGTTCTGGATCATCTGCAGCCTGTGGAGGGAGGAGTTGAGGAGGCTGACAAGCAAGGAGTTTGCAATAGTCAAGCCTCAATGTAATAAAAGCGTGTATGAGGGTTTCGGCAGCCTGCTGTGTGAGACAGTGGTGGAGCCGGGTGATGTTGCGGAGGAGGGGGAAGGCAGAGCGGGTCATGGCACAGATGTGGGGTAGAAAGGATATTTGAGGGTCAAACAAGACACCAAGGTTCTGGATTGGCTTAGTAAGGTGGAATGTGCAACCATGGATGGTGATGCTGTGAGGTGTGGAGGCGCTGACGGAAGGCAATCAGGAGAGCCTCGGTCTTATTGAAGTTCAACTGAAGAAAGTTAGTTCTCATCCAGTACTTGATGTCTGACAGACATTCTGTCAGGACACCAGTGTTCCTGGAGTCAAAAGTGGAGGCAGAGAGATAGAGTTGGGTGTCATCCGCATACATGTGGAAGTTGACCCCATGTCTGCGGATGGCATGTCTGATAATACATATAGTTATGGCAGTCCATACTATGAGCAGTTACATAAATAACCTATTTTTAGATTACGACATTGCTGAATGATACTAATACTCCTTGCATTTAATATAATGCCTTTCATAGAACATTGAAATTTACCGCACACTGGCTCTTTTAAGAGCAATTCTTTCAGTCCTATTTACTTGCCCTTTATCCACACCCTTATTGTTTACTCCTTTTTAGGTATTTATCTAGTTCTCTTTTAAAAGCTAATATGGATTCTGCCTCAACCACTGCTCCCAGCAGGGAATTCCATATCCCAACTATGTGTGTGAAAAAATTCCTCCTAACTTCTCCTTTTGCTTATTTACTAACTTTCATAAATTGATGCCTCCAGTCACCAACTTTCCAACCAGTGGAAATAATATCTCGCAATTACACACAGCAGTGTCCCACAAACAGTTGTGGTTTGAGTGACCGATTTTTTAAAAAAAAGGAATTATTACCCCTGACTCTGCCAAACAACTAACAACCTACTTACTGCTAGATAAACAGGCTTGTGGAGTAAGGAAGCTTGCCCAACATTTCCCCCGGCCAGGAATAGAACCGAGGTCTCTTGCTTACAAGGCAAGTGCTCTAGCCACTGAGCTACAGGATTCCAGGACACCACGTTACTGGAAGTGCAGTGATTTTGTATGTTGCTTACAAAATTAACCCTGTTTTCATTTTCCAATAGCCTATATTCATTTGGTATAAGTGTACCTGAGACCTAATGTACTTTACTAGTGTACATTTAATATGATTTTGATACTTTCTCTGAAATCATTGCCAATTAATAATGATTTTAATTACCTAGTTATTGATTGGCAATGAATTCTGGATAGTGCAACCCTGAGTGACATCAATAAATAATTATACAAACCATCAAATTTGACCATAATATTAAAGTTGCAAACATTTGCCCATATTATTTGTAGGAATATCAGGTTTATCTGCAAAGTAAAACATATCTTGAATTTAAATTTTCATATTTTTTTCCATAAATTTGTCAAGCACGTATGTGTATCATAACTAACTGTATTTTGCAATGTTAAGTAAGTATCGATGCAATAAATATGCTGTCCATAATGCAAGATAGGTATTGTAGCATTGAAACAAAGAATACAAGGATGTTCCCAGGGATGAATAGATCAAGCTGAGCACAGAAATGTCCCACAAACAGCCACCAAGGGAATGATCAATTAACCAGGGGATTGTTGGCCATGAAATTGGGAAAAAATCTTTCTCTTTTTCGAATAGTGGCATGAAATATGTAACATCCACCTTAACAGCCAGAAGGGACCTCAGTTTAACATCTCATACGAAGGTAGGTAGAGTTCAAAGTGGAAACAGATGGGGCTTGAGCCCACAATCTTTTGACTCAGAGACAAGCGTGCTGCCAATTGAGCCAGTTGACAACAAGTATTCAACCAGTTACAAACTAAAAATAAAACGTGTCCCTCAGGAAAATAAAATAAAATATAATAATAAATAATAATCCTTGTATTTTGATATTACATCTTCAAGACATCACAACGCACTTCACAGAATATGCTGTAAAGTGAATTAACTATATATTTTATGGGCAAAATGCAGCAGCCAATTGTGTCCCACGAACAGTCGTGGATTGAGTGACCAATTTATTATTTATTTATTTGCGGCAGCCAATTGTGTTCCACAAACAGTCGTGGACTTAATAAAAGATGTAGTTATGGGATACTGGGAAGACCATAAAAAGATTAGGCAGAGTCAACATGGCTTTACAAAAGGGAAGTCATGCTTGACTAACCTTTTAGAATTTTTTGAGGATGTATCCAGCAGGTTGGATAAGGGGGAACCAGTAGATGTGGTATATTTGGATTTTAGGAAGGCATTTGACAAGGTGCCACACAAAAGGCTGTTACTCAAGATCAAGGCCCACGGGATTAATGGGAAAATATTAACATGGATAGAAGAGTGGCTATCGGGTAGAAAGCAGAGAGTAGTGATAAACGGATCATTCTCGAATTGGCAGGATGTAACTAGTGGAGTGCCACAAGGATCAGTGCTTGGGCCTCAGCTATTTACCATTTACATCAATGATCTGGACGAGGACATTGAATGTAATGTGTCTAAANTGCGCGGATGATACTAAACTAGGTAGCAGAGTGAGCTCTCAGGATGATGCAAAAAGATTGCAACAAGATATAGATAGGCTCGGGGAGTGGGCAAGTCGGTGGCAGATGGAATTCAATGTTAGCAAGTGTGAAATTATTCACCTTAGTAGCAAGAATAAAAGAACAGATTATTTTCTGGAAGGGGAGAAGTTAGATAGTGTTAGTATTCAAAGGGATTTGGGTGTCCTTGTACACCAGTCCCAAAAAGTTA